TTTTTTTTTTTTTTTGAATTATGAAGTATGCATTACTTCCTTCTATTCGGAACATACACAATGGTTAGATTTGATTCTTTTTCTCCTCTGGGGTACAAGTAAAGAAACATTTCAAAGCAGTGTATGAATGGTATGCATCCACAATACCAACAGAAGATGTGAAACATAGAAAATGTTGATGATTTTGCAACTTGAGTAATATTTCCGTAATGTTTCTATTGTCCCTACAGAATAGAAAAGCTGTACAGTTATTCTATTCCCAGTGATCAGGTCTCATTTTCCTCTTTTAAAAGGAAGTATTACACACATGACATTCTTTTCACTGGAATAAATCAACAGGAAGATAACCCCAATGCATGCAAACTGGAAAGCCCATGGAGTTAAAAAACTGCAAATTCACAATCTTTACTTCACAAGATAGCACTGCATTTTAAGTTGCTTTTTTACAGTAAAAAACAGGTAGCTTGCTTGATATGAGGGACCTACAACCAACAGCTACTTTTGGATTTTACGCTTTTATGTTTTGCAGCACATTTTTTTCCCCCTTTACTAAAAAGCCCAACCCTCATCCCTCTCAGCAAGTTCAGATGCTGGCAGAAATTTCATACCAATAGTTATTCTCAGACTGTTAAGGAAGCCAACTAAGATTTTAAGAATAGGATCATTTACACACCAACCTCCACATGTTACATGTTAGTACACTCAAAAATGTATTATCCAAAAAAAAAATAATTAAAAAAAAATATATATATATATAAAAATGTGGGCTATTAGAGTGCACAGTCTTGGCAACTTCAGCCAAGAGCCGCCTTGGAAGGGAAAGCGAGCTTGGCCTGTGCAACCCAGTGGGCGATACTACCCAGTAAAGAGAGGGGTATTAGGAGAAAATAACACTTCTGGGTGGTTTTGTTTTGAAACAGAGTCATACACAAGCTGGTAACCCCGTTTTAAAATGGTCCCACAAAAAAAAAAAAAACCAAACCAAAAAAAAAGCATTATGAAAATAACTTGAAGGGATCTTTGCATTTCAAAATAAAAAAAAACAATATTAAAACTTAATCTGAAGCCAATGAAGCATTCTTTTCAAGAAGCTCCTAGTAGAACCGTGACTCCTTTGTGGAAGAAAAGTGGGCAATTTCAAACTTGAAACTTACCTTGCTATGCGTGATCTATTTGAAGAGTAATCCACAACTCCCATTCCAAAATGCATAACCTAGTTGGGTTACTTACATATAGGAAATGCCACAATACATGTAATCATTCCAAATACAAAAAAAACCCCAGTAAAATGTACTGAGAGGCCATGTAGTTCTGCATGTTTAAAACAATGCTGTATTTCACCACTTGACTGCACTACAGGAGGATCTATGGGAAAATGGATGTGGCACAAAAGTATTGCACATAAAAGTTCCGTTTTACATGAGCACTTTGACACAAATTCTGAGTTTCAGTAGGTCGCACGCACACAAAGTGCATTTAAAAGAAGCTGTTTTTCACCAAAAGTGATGCCTAACCATTAACCGAATTAAACTATTTGTTTTGTATTAAGAAAAAAAAAAGCAAAACAAACATGGACATAACAGCTGTACCAGATTATTCTCTATTTATATTGTTGGTATCAGTTTGATCTATGATGAAACGCCTATCAACACCACCTTACACTGCTCACACTGCATGGCTGCGTACCAATGTGTAAGTCTGCATGTACGGTATCCTATGTTCCTCCATAGGAAAACATATAGAATATGAAAAAGCATGACCCTGTTGTAATATAAAAACCAACAGCTTCTAGTTTTAAGTGTATCCCCTTTCTAAAATAGTACTGCTGCAAGTAGCTAGCTAGCAACTCCATTTAGTAAAGGCATGAAAGGTTTAATGCTTCTCTCTCAGTTAACAGCAAAGCATTAGTAGTAAGAAACAGGAATTACAGTGAGAAACTAAGCTTACTGTTTTGGGCCTTCCCCCTGCCCACATTTAGAGCCACAGTCATCTAGTTAGATGGTTATTTTTAGTGCAGGCTCCCGTTTAAAGAGAAGGGAGGAAGGAAAGTCCCAAAATCATAGAATCATTTACGTTGGAAAAGACCTTTCAGATCATCAAGTCCAACCGTTTTATTAAATTAGAAAGACCAAATCAGTATGTGAACAGGTTAAATATTCTAAGAACAAAAAAACCTCTCTTATCAAATTAACAGTAGTACAAAAAGATGCAGTTCTTGGTAATGGATCTTACCTGTTCACGGTTTCCCATCTCTTTTCAGTGCACACTAATGAAAACAATGATACTTCATAGTTTGTACTCACATATTCCAAACCACACTGAATGGCAGTTATGCGGAATGACTGTCGGGAGACTAAGGGCATGTGTTAGGTTAAGGGGTAAAGCCCTGACCCGCAGTAAAGTCCAGATCAACAACTAGTATATCCAGTTCCGTTGCACACGCATTGATCCCCCGGCGCCTTCATGCACTGTGTGTAATTTTTGAAGCACGTTTCCATCACAGAATGAGTCATACTGTGGCATGTTGCATTGAATACACAGTGGCAACATACATACTTTGCTAATGGATCTCATTCTCAGTATACTCTGAATCTGTGCATTCACTGACATAACACACAGTGTATATTAAATCGCATATTCAGAGAGTAAAATGTTGTAATGTTGGCCAAAAAGGCTTTTTCTACCCCAAATTTTCCAAGTTTATCTTGAAATAATTCTGTTACTGTGTGTTGAAAGAAAAAGTTAACAAAGGGAAGTTCCTTTCTATGTGAAGAACCCCTCAGCAGTACATAATTTGTGTTCCACTCCCCAGCATCACAGACACAAAATATATTCCGTTATCCCTGAGAAGTAATAACACTAATTTCAGTAAGAGGTAAACACTAGAAGTGACTTTATAAAGCAACATTTTGCATTTTGAAAGAGGAAAATTTGTTCAAGTACTTGCACAAGCCAAACCAGAGATGCTACAGTGAACATTCCTTCCTCTTTCCACTACTGAAGAAAACCTCAACTTCCACAAAAATAATTTTTTAGTATGTCACCACTGCTTCTAAATACTTCTTTACCTGGATATTTAACACTCCAGCTTAAGTTTTAGATGTCTTCCTCACCCAGATGCCTTCAGTCTCCTTAGGAAAGGAAGAGTACAAGCTTACCTCCAATGCATAAATAATATAATAGCTGAATATACAGCTTTAGTTTAGGGCAGAAGAAAATAAGCTGAAGTTTCACAACTTGAGTTTTCACTGAAGAATCTCAACAAGGACACCAGGTAATCTGTCACATAGTGGCATTTGTCACATTTGGCTTGTTTAACTACTACTAATGACAGCAAGAATGCCATATTAGCAGGACAAAAACCACTCATGAAGTTCACTTTCCCTCTTCTCTGTATTTACTAGAAATAGAGCAAGTTTTGAATTTCTTTAGAATTTGGAGAATTTTTGGTAAATGCTGATGCAAAACTGTATGGGGAGAATGGGGAAGTAATTTCTTAGGGTAACATCAAGTTGCAGAAAAAAAAGAGGAAGGTTGCAGCATATAACTATGTAAAACAAAACATCCTCACGCAAACTCAAGCACAACATAAAAGTAACATCTGAGAGTTACACGTCAAGTTAAAAAAGAATATTTTGTGATGCGTATTACAGGGATGAGAAAGAACATATTGGAATCACATCTGCATTTGCAGGCTTCTAGTCACCTGACAAGGCAGGAGGTAGTTTTAAAAAACCCACCCCTAATTAGTGAACACTTGTTGACTGAGAAAGCAGTGTTAAATATAACTGCATGCTGCACACGACTCCAAAAGAATGTCAGCCCTTAAATCAAATATATACATTTTTAATATCTGAAATATTTACATGGTGGAACCTTTACACGATCCCATTTGTTAAGAACAGTGTTTTCAAGTGTCCTCTCCAGATACAAAGAACTAGTAACTCAAGGTCACAGTTATGTTTTCTGAACAGGTCAACCTGTATCCTTCAGTTAAATACAATATAGAGATACTGGAACACCTTTACTTAATTTGTTTGCTATTAAGAATTGTGTTTAAAAATTAAAAATGTTTTTGAGACAGTTTGCTCCCTGGAACACAATCCTCCTGCAATCAAAACAGCTCATAGCACATTATCGATTTGTTGTCTTACCCAGGTATGCGATAAAAAATGCAGTTTACAGTACATCTCATCATTTATACCATATCAGCCTATTTATAAAAACCCATATAAACAAGGCAGGAAAATATCACCCTCTTTTTGTGGACAACAGACTGCTTACAGTAGAAAACAAAAGTCAGGACTAATTTAACAGTATGAATAAAAACAAAACTTCAGCTTTGTTTGAAAACTTATGATATAGTTTTTGTCAACTGCTATGGTCAGTTACATCCAAACAGGTATTTTTTTCCTAAATACTAAAAAAAAAAGTTTTTAAAAATAATTTATTTTAAAAAAATCCATCTGATTATTTTGGAGACAGAAGGAATAACAGGGAAGGGCTAAAATGAAACAAAGCAGAAGATATCCTACTTTAAAAAAATAATAATCGTTAAATAGCACTTACTGAATTGAGGTCCTGTTCTTGTTTAAACTGAGCAAAGAATAAAAAACTCCCTGCAATTCGCACTTTCTAGGAAAGAAGCAGAGCATCTGCAGGAGATTAAGTTCCCAGCTTCATTAACAATTCTAAACAGGCAACAAAGTACCAAGACTACTGCTGGTTCACATCAGAATTAAAAGTCCGAGGGAACTCCTTTTCCAGTCAGATGAAGGGACCAAATGAACACACAAGGCCGTTCTGTAAAAGCAGCTCAAGCCACTTATTTTTAAATTGTACTCTGATCATTCCTTAAATAAAAAGAGGGAGAGTATGCAAAAAAAAAAAAGTGCGCTCATAAATTTGCAGTAAAATCATTTGTCTTCATCTGTAACTGATGTAGTTCCACATTAAGTGCAAATGTTTTGCAGAACAGGGGCTTTTTTTTTCCTTAATATTTACAAGAATCAGAGTAACATAACAAAATTACCAGAGAGCATGTACAGTAGCTGCAGTTTATAAAACATACCGGTAATTGTACCTTGTGAATTATAAAGAGAACCAATGCAGGATTCAGATAACTAACTGATAAGGGTAAAGGGGGCCTCAGAGCAGAGGACAAAAAAATTCACATTTTTCTACATAAAAAAATACAGGTCTCAAGTCTCTGAGAACAGAGAAAATTCAAAGTCTTTGAATGATGAAGAAAAAAAAAGCCCAAAATTGAAATGGAACCCTAGAAGCAAGGAGAGTGCTTTATTTCACTAGACCAATCTTCTTCGCTTCTGTCTCGTATATCAACAACCTCCACATTTTGACTATGAAAACTTCAGCTTCTTCATCTAGTACCTGTAGGAAATACACATTTTACAGATTATTTTTAGGTTAGGTGTTTCAGTTACAAAGACTAATCCTAGACACATCAGAACTACGAAGTGGAGGTAGTGTAATCCAAGTTAAGCCTTTGAGTGAGGCACTGGATAAAACTTCATTGAATTTGTCTGTCCTGCATTTATCACCTGACTTGACTAGGTTTTAATGATATACTTCTATAGTGCAGCTGTTGAGCACTAAGAGATAAAAGTACCAGTATCCTAGTCTCCAAAAGTGGCTTGGGAAGAGGCAAAGAAATGACAAGCTCAGGAAGAATGTAAGAACAGGACATACACATGCGGTATTTTCTCTTAATTCTGTCATAGTCTCTGCTCATTTTCAGCTTGGAACTTCCTTGGATATTTATTAATTACTCCCTCGATGGATTTCTCCTCCTTGAGCTTATTATCCAGGCTTTTCTTGAATCCATGCAAACTTTTAGCATGCACAACATGTCTCAGGAAGTTCCCCAGGTCACCTACTAGTCACACCAAGAACAACCTACTAACTTCTATGAATCTGGCTCCTACCAACTTTGTCTCTAAGTTTCCTTATTGGAAGAGAGCAAATAGTTTTTATTCACCTTCCAGTGTATGAAAACATGGTGAAATAGTAGCATTATTTCATGAAGCTTCTCTCTTCCAACACCAGGCAAAAAAAAAGTTTTTACTCTTCTAGAGAAAAATCACCTTTTGCTCATTAATTAGGAATAGACCTGATAAACCATTAATTATAAAAATCTAGTTACAAGACTGAGAAGGAATAAATGTTTGTATTTCTGATACAGTTCTGCTATTCTTGATTCTTACCTCTCTACTGTTAGGAACAGAATCTTTGTTCCACATTTCCGAATACTGAGAAATTCTGAATAGGCATCAGTAATTTCTACCTAGATGCTGTAACTGCAAAATCACGCCTGTGCTAGCATGATCTGTTTAATTTAAACAGCTTTCAGATCTAAGCAAGTTTTCTATGCGTGTTCTATCAATGCCAAGTATTTCTGTTATAGACTCCTACATTTCGCACTATTGACTATTAGCTTCAGTGTAATGTAGAATGTATATCAGTTACACAAGTTCTGCTTACCATGGCAACGTCATCCAGTATGCTCTGTGGTGAGCTGTGAGCCATAACCTGAAAGAAACACGTATTTATTTTTTTTTTTTAGACTGAGAACTCTGTGTAAACCACACAAACATTGTTGGACAAAAAGCAGTTACTTCTCAAGGATTTTGAATGCTTTGCACATGCAAAAAGTATTTCCAGTTCATCAGTTCCCAGTATTGGCCAGGGCAAAAATTTAGTATTAGACTACATCAAATTCCATCATAGCGAGTGCTCCTTTATGGCTAGTTAGCGAAGAACAAGTTCCAGGAAGCTTGAGAGATTCAACAGGTCCTGTATTTGCTGGCTATTCTTGCATGTCCAATTAAGCTCTCCTAATTTAAGGAATAAGCTCCCCTTCCCTCAACAGTGAATTCCTAATCACAGAATGGAAGACAAAGGCAAAATTCTACCTGTATCACACTTCATAACTGAATTTTCCTATTAAGTATTTCCAATTATTTATTTTCAGAACCAAATAAGTTGTCTTTCAATAATAGAAAATGGCTTTTATATATATAATTTAAGCTTGGCAAACATTCGACTTCTGCTTTTCACTTTCTACTAACCACCTGTGCCACAAAACTGTCACTTGCTTTGCCTCTCATACAGTAGCCCTAAAAGATAAACCAAGACAAGCCATTATAAATGTGAGTACCATGAAAGCTGAAAAGTTTTTGAAATTCCCATTGGTGAAAAGCCATAGAGTCGTCATGACAGACTTTAAAAGGCAAGTTACTAGAATTTAGTTTGTAATTTTATGGAAGAAGCTAAGCCGAGTTTAGTTCAAACAAGTCATGCAATGGCTAAAAGGTATAGCAGAATGACTTCTAATGCTAACTCTAAAACCTTAGTATTTGCTTACTACTAAAGCAACAGCATGTGAAAAGATTTTTAAGAAGTTAATCTAGTTAATCCTAAAATGTACGTAAAATCAAGCTCCTGGCTTTTTTCCCCTGAACCCACACAAATCCTATTTTTAACTTAAAAATGTTAATGGCCAACAAGATGTTAATTCTGCAATCTAATGATAAAACTATCAGTTAAAACAGCTGCTCTTGTCAACTGCTCATGTCTTCAATCCAGTTCCGTACGTTTATGTAACAGATAACAGACAGCATCAAGCACGTATATATTTTGCATAAGCATTAAAGGAAGTAACTTGTAAAACATTAGGGTACATACTGATTCCAAGTACACCAACTGTCTCTGCTGATCAGTATCATAGAGAAGCTAAGAACAGACGGCTTTCAAATACAGATACTGCAGTCATTGCTGCAGCTTATATAGGGAGCACAACCCAGATCTCACAAAGGAACGGGAAGATACTAACCTTAGAACAAACAAAGTCAACTAGCGTGGCTTCTTCTTCACCAATATATTCTATTATTTTCTTGTTGATCCACGGTCTAATTCGACGTTCCATTAGTGTCTGGGGAAAAAAACCCAAACTCCATAATTTCCATAAACTTTACTGTCTTGAAACACTACTGCCATATAGGCAGCTAGAAGACACAAATAACTATTTAGCAAAAGATAGATTTTGCTATCAATGTGATAACCCTTAATGATTTGGCATCTGCAAGTATTTCTGACAGACAATTCAAACCTGTTTTACAGGACCTCCCCCCCAGCCCCTTCCATGAAACTGCTAGACAATTTGTGGCAACAATTCAGGAGACCAAATGAAAATAAGCAGGTGTACTTCAGACTAAGTATTCTATATGTGGACAAGAAATACAGTACTGAAGTTTGATTCCATTTGGTGATGATGCTCCAATCCACTGGGGTCCCAGGAACATTGTTTTTCTATTCAATTCCAAGGTTTGTTTGGAAAAAAATAGGCTTTTTTGTGAATGGTTAAAATAAATCAACTTACAGAATCCACAATGGACCAGTCAAGAGGATAAGCAAAGAGCTCTGGTTTCGCTGTGGGAATCTTCTCAATGAGACTCTTAATATGTTTGCGTTTTTCTTCTGTATTGACACTGCCTTTGATACTGCTTTTATCTTCTTCTCCATAATCCAGAGGGACGAGTTTCCTTTTCCGGGGCACATCATCACTGTCTTCGTCATCAAATTTATTGAAAACGCTATCCACAGCGAGCTTCTTCCTTTTTACAGCATTGGGTTGATTAGGACTATTGCAGGCACCTACAACCCAAAAGACAGAACAACATATTCATAAACTACAACTGAAGCTAGTTTGCTCTTCACACCTTCCTTGAGGAATATTTGTCTGTATGTTATATAAGCGCCTGTGAATGCCTAGCATCAGCATTTTAATCTCTCAAACCCTGTTATAAAAATGGCAAAAGAGGTAAAAATCTCAAACTAAGTTTGTTCAAGATTTTTGAAAAACAGGGTCTTCTTTCTCTGCCCTGAAACCAAACAGCACCCTCACTACGGGAGGACTACTGCATGAGTTCGAACCTTAGCAGAGGCAGAGCACAGAAGTGAAAGGTTGCAATGAATCTAGCCGTAGGAAAAGCATTACTCAGTTAGCCTCATACCATACAGTCTCCCTTCACCCAAGATCTTAACATTGTGTAAGCTCAAACTGCATCCTTAGTATAAGTTAATTGAAATAATAAGTAATAAATACAAATACTCTTAGTTCTGCTGCTTAGAACACATTTTTTTTCAAACACCATGAATTGCTAAAGCACTAAGGAACTCTACACTCATGTTCCATTCGCAATTGTCATCAATTCACTGTGCTACTTTAAGAGGAGGAAGACAATAATCTAATTTTCAGTTTTCTTCTTTTAAAAGGGTCTTCACGAATAAACATAAGGCTTAAATCTAACATATACTTACATCAATGAAAAGTAGCAATGAGTTTTAATAGAGTTATTTGGAGATCTATTAAGGTGAAAAAGGATGTGGAAATAACTGATGCCAGCTCAGAGCACTCCTAAAAAAATTAAGCCTTGAAGAAGGCAAAAATTCCCTGTCCTTTTTCCCCTCCAGATTTTGGAAGAAGAGAGATCTATAAAAGATATCTTCTGGATAGGAGAAATCAAGCACAGCATCTGGATAACAATGACTCGATACAAGTATGTCAAAACATACAATGTATTTGGAGAACTGGCTTTTTTTTCATTCTGATCCCGTACGGAACATTAAAATAGAATGTAAACTTGCCCAATTTGAGGCTAAGTCCTATTTTGGGCCGATGCTCCTCCGGCTGCTGTTGATCAGGTGAATTTTCATGAGGGATAATAATGCCACAGGGAGATTCATCACCGGGTGTGTTAGGGGTTGCATTTCCACTAGCAGAAGAAACAGATGGGGCAGAACTGATAGGTCGTAAAGTTGGTTTAAGGCAGGGCTTTTGTTCAGGCTCTTCTTCCTCTTCCTCTGGCTCTTCTCTTTTTTCTTCTTTTTCTGCCTTTTCTTCCTCTTCCTCCTCAGACTCTGGCTCTTGTTTTATTTGTGGCTGCCTACGCCGCTCAGCCTCCTGCTCCATCTACAATGGAACAGACAATTAGCAAAAAAAAAAAAAGCTTTCTCAAAACCAGCACTGTTTGAAAAGAATCTAAAGATCCTCCGTTTCCTAAAGGAAGTCTCTGTTAGTCAATAACAAATACATGCAACTACTGCCATTATAATCAGAAATATTGATTAAGCAAAATACTCTATCCAAGCATAGATCTGGAAAATTATTTTTTGTTTCCAGTGTTCTTACTGCTTACCTGGACTTCTTTTTAAGAAAAACTGAATAGAGCAAATATTAACTATTGGATCTCTTACACAATTTTGCTCAATACCACCAGAATACCAAGGGCTCTTTTTCTTCCTGTCAGACCAACAGCTACTTACCCTCTGGAGTTCTGCATCTGGATCTGGGTGTCCTTCTGCAAGAAGGCGCTGCCTAATTTCTTCTAATTCTTCCTTTTCCCTCTTCCTATCCCGTTCATCTGCTTCCATCTCCTTCTCCCTGTCTCGTAGCCTCTTCTGAAGAGCACTACCCCTACAAAAGACAGGGATTTTGTACTTCAAAGAACATTCCAATGAGAACCTTGTACCACAAGAAATACAGATATATCTTCCATTAAATTAAAATAAAATTCATAAGAGCATCTGGTGTCCTCTATTTTTGTAACAGAAGAATCTAAGATACCAGTTCCCTATATTACTGTGCAGAATCTATCCCATCACCTTAAACACATGTAGAGAATGTGACTGATGGTCATCTTAGAAAAAGAAATTATTTTATAGGTTGTTACTTGACAAGAACCAGTCCTGCTAAATGAGTTCGATGCAAATTTTAGTTAGTCCTATGCTGAAGGGTCTTCCCCATCCTTTACAGAGGTAACAAGTATATTTTTCATACAACTTACAGCTAGCTTGTAGTGAATTTTTTGAGAGGCACGCTTGATCCCTCTTCTCTGTCCCCGTCATCTTCTTTTGGCATTACACTGACCTCTGCTCTGCCTCACTCACGAGTTAAATGATAGGAAAGAGAAGCTACTCCCAAGCATTAACAAATAGCAGTAAGGAGTCTCCCTTTTCCCTCTGGCGCTTATAAAGTGAAACTGACATAATTTAGGTAATTACATGACCCTGACGTCGCCACACAATCACTCAACTATAAACTCCATAAGTCTCTGCCAACAAACCCCACGACTGTGTTAAAACTAACAATGAAGATTTCAATGTTAGGAAAGACACACCTGTAGTATTTTGGATCATCTCTGTCATCATCATAGTCTTCTAAGAATTCTTTTAACCGTTTGGCTTCTTTCGCCTGCAAGAAATTGAAGCGTAAATAATGTTATAAAAGGATTTCTGGTTTTCTTTCCAAGAGTTTAAAATTTAGTAATATTATTAGTAAGTTAATTTAATATCTGCTATGCTTCAAACTAAAAAATACAGAGTTTTCCAGTTAAAAAATGGAAATGTTTTGGAATTGCGTCATCTTCCAGCGATCTGTCAACTTGCTATCATATGTTCAATAGCAGATATTACACCCATTAGGTCCACTGGGATCACGTCTCTGATCTGCGGACTACTGTCCTGTTATCAGCATTTCAAAGGGTTTTTAAATATATATCCCCCTATCCGCCCATTTTTTTTGTTGTTTTTTTTTTTTCTTCTATTTCACAGAAGAGAATCAAAGTTCACATTCCATAATCCATAGCTCTAGTATTGAATATTTTAACATGGCAGTTTAAGTGTATTTTATTAGTTCTGTTTTGTTTCAAGAACTGGGCTTTTTAAAAAAGATTCAGTTATGCACAGAAACAAATTTAATGGATACTTCTAGGACAAGCACTCTCCTGCTGTGTTGCTAATCCAAACCATGTGGCACCGTATTAATGCACAGGCCTAACACTGAAGGGGGCGAGAAGAATAGAGAGGAGATTTCCCCCCCGCCTTTTTTTTTTTTTTTTCCATTTTATCAGAGAGGAAAAGATACAGAAGTTCTTTGAAGAGAATATAAAGTAGACATTCTAACCTGTATTCGAGCAATATCTTTAAACCAACAGTAAGACATTTCTACACTAATGAGTTTGAGAAACAAATTATGATTATGGTTGTAAATTCAGCACAAAATTTAACACTACTCTCTACAACTGCCATCTGTAGCCAGCATCCAGAAGAATCGTGAATAGAAAATATCTTTTAGTCAAACATTTTTCTCCCCTCTCAAGTATTTAGGGGAACAAATTAGATTCCACATAAAATGATGTACTTTCTAATTTTTTCTTTTTTTCTTTTTTCCTACTTAGAACTCTCTCATACCTTCTCTCTTTCTCTGGGAGAATTATGAAGTGAAATAACACCAACATAATTTAAAGTAACTTCTTTACGCTTTAGCACAAAACCGTGAGATTACAGAAGTATCTATCTTCCAAAGGTGTCTTTTCGGACAAAACTTCCCAGTGTTAGTGATAACTGATAGTTTCACAACTAATGAACTGAAGACAGAAATTTACAAAGTACTTAGATGTATTATAGAATATTATGTTATATATTATAGAAGGTTCAGGCACATGAGCAGGTTGGATGTAAAAAGAGTCGTTTAGTTCCACCTGCATGACACACAACATGTAGTAGGTTTTGCTACAAATCTGACACAAATACAGGTTACAGATGTAACAGCGCATGATGATCAAACCACAGTATTTTGCAGGTGTCTACTTTGCGTTCTTTTGCCTTCAAAAGACCAAGCCATTATGCTTTGTTTTCGAGACTTTCAACAGTACTCCCACTTTAAATTAGACACCTCCTGTTTCAAGTCTATTACCTGCCTATTACACATACATGGTGTTTACACAAAATCAGAGTTCTATCACTAACCCTAAAGACAGTAATAGAATGTTCCATTCTAAATGGGACACAAAGAACAACGAGGAAAAATTACAAGTAATACTATAAGCCTTACCATTTCCCTTCTTCGTTCTTCTTCCCTTTCAGCCTCTTTTTCATATTCTCGACTTTTCTTCCGTTCTCTGATTTCCCAGTTTTTAAGACGCTACAACACAAGAAAAAACACACACTCCAAAGTCAAGACCGCTAAGAATAGTGGTACTACTTTGAAGTTAGTTTAGATTATTGTTTAAAACTAACTACACTGAAATTAAGCAAATTATTTATTTACAATTTAAAATGCCAGAATAAGAAGTCTGAAGTTGCTTTCACGCTGACTTACATATTCTGCCCCAAAATTCATAGACAAAGGATTAAAATTATATATAGAAAATAAGAGGGAGAAGGAATGATGTATTTTATAGTAAAAGACTTATCACCCCTCAGAAACAATTTTTCCTTAAGGAACCTTAAAAATCCCAACCTACTTCTTGATACGCCGCTTCTTTTTCTCGCAGTTTCCTCTCTAGTTTTCGGCGTTCATAGGCATCTTCTTCATCTTCTTCTCGGTCTCTCTTCTTATCCTTCTCCCGTTCTCGTTCCCGCTCGCGTTCTCTTTCCCGTTCCCTCTCTCGTTCTCTTTCC